TAGGGCAGCAAGTCTCAGCACTCAAGCACAGCCACCGTGCACAACAGCTCCTGTAAGTTCTGAACACCTGAATTCACCAACGTGTGCTCAAAAATCGAGTTTCCAAGTCAGAAAGGGAAAGACTGAAGTTAAAGATGAGCTCGCAGGAGTGAAACCCCTCAGCAGTTACGTACAATGCCAGTGCCCTGGTTCTCAGGGCCGGGGACACAAGTGCCACTGAGCTGCTCTCACCAGTGATTCTCACAACTCTAAGAACTTTGGACAACTCATGTCCTGCCATGGGGACACCCATCGGGCTGCAAGCTGGGCTCTCGGTCTCGGCACCATCAGACTCCTTGGAAAACAGAGATGAAGGAGGATATCAAGCCCCAGCTGTGCTCTCAGACACTAGGAAACTGGTTTCGTTGCCAACTCCAGATCCACAGTCCCCTCTGAGGTTGGCTACTTCCCACTTACATCCTCCAACAGCCGTCCTTCCACCCGGAGCTCCCAGGAGGCGACGGTTCCTTCGCCGTCCTCCACGTCCGACTTGGCGGGGTTGAAGGTGTTGGAGATAAAAATGCGCAGCTTTCGCTTTTGCTGGGAGGAAAAACATCAGCTCAGCACAGCTAATCCTCCTGCGCAGGCTTTGCTAAAACTGAGCTCAATGTCTTCAGCACTCCCCCCCTCCCGGAGCACACAGGACAGAGGTGCTGCTGCTCCCAGCCCGTGGCAGTGTCCAGAGCACTGGGACCCCTGACATGCCACACTCACAGGACAGGACCCTTCAGTGCCCTCCTGCTGCCTGGACTCAGGAGCCTGCAGAGCCTGGCTACAAGCCCTGGCCTGCCCTACCTTGATGGGGCGTTTCAGGGCCTCCTGGATATCCAGGCGCTTCCTCATGATGGTCTGGTCCAGCTTCCTCTCAAAGGCCAGCAGGTCCATGTAGGCCTGGGATTCGGGCACGAGCTCACGGATCTGGGGCCAGGCGAGGATGGAAATGCCCATCAGCTCCCCAGAGTGCCCCAGGCTGCCTCACCTCCCCCCGAGCCCCTCCCCGGGTCCCACTCACCCGCTGCGGGAGGATTTTATCTGCCATCTTCTTCTTCTTGGCACTGACAAGGGGCAAGAGGCAAAGGAGGTGTGAAAATGGGCACAGGAACTCACAAACCTGCAGCTCCCACTGGCCAGGGGCTCCCCAGTTAGCTGGGCCCTGCTCCAGTGTGGCTAACTGGTTCTCTCAATGCTCCCCACCCCTCTGAGCACTCAGGAAGGAATTCCATCTGTTGGGAAGGAGGACCTGACCCAACGCCCACACCAAGTCCTGCCTCAATCAGCCTTGGACTGGCTTTTCCAGGAACAGCTGGAAATTTTAAAATCCAGGGTGAATTTCCTTCTCACTGGGGCATCACACCAGGATGCAGGGGGTTCATCCCTTGGGAAGGAGGACCTGACACGACGCCCACACCAAGTCCTGCCTCAATCAGCCTTGGACTGGCTTTTCCAGGAACAGCTGGAAATTTTAAAATCCAGGGTGAATTTCCTTCTCACTGGGCATCCCACCAGGATGCAAGCACATGACATAAACCCAGAGCTGCCCTGCCCAGTGCTGTCCTCCAGTGCCAGGGGAATGCACAAGGAGCTGACAGGGCCCTTCAGCCCCGAGTGCTGCAGGATGGCCCAGCACTCCAGAATCCCTGAGCCTGGAAAAGCCCTTCCAAACCTGTGCCTGACCCCTACCTTGTCCCCAACCCAGAGCCCTCAGTGCCACGTCCATCATTTTTTAGAAACCTCCAGGGATGGCAACTCCACCACCCTCCTGAGCAGCCCCTTCCAAAACCTGGCAATTTCCATGAAGAAATTCCCCCCGATCCCCACCACGGCCTGAGGGATACTGCCGCTGCCCCGAGATGCTCCCGTTGCCCGGGATGTCCCCGTCAGCCCCGGGATGTCCCCGGTCCCCGTGCCTTACTTGTGGTTGCGGTTGGGCACCGCCTGCGGCTGCACCTGCTGCAGCTGCTGCGGCGCCGGCCGCTTGCGAGCCTGGTCCAGCCCGGCCTGCGCCAGCGCGGGCCGCACGGCTGGGCTCCCGCCGTACCCGGGAGGACCCATGGCCGGGCCCTGCGGCGCCAGGCGGCCGCCCGGCAGCATCCCGGGGCGCTGCGGAGAGAACAGAGCCGGTCAGCGCCCGGCTCCCGGACCCAGCGCGGCCCCGGGCGCGGCCCCGGCGCCGCCGCCGCTCGCAGGCCCCGACTGGAACCCGGCCCGCGCCGCCATCTTGTCTCGCACAAAGGGAGCGGAACCGGAAACGGCCCCGCACGGCGCGCGGAGCGCCGGGGAGGAGCCGCCCACGGCCGCCGCCCGCAGCGCCCCCTGCCGGCGGGGAGGACCGAGCGGCGGGGGTTGGGGGGATTTGGGGCCGTGAGGGGTTCGGGGTGCGGGAGGGGGATCGGGGACGGGAATGGGGACCTTGAGGGGTGGGATTGGGGGTGCAGGACCCTGGGGGATCAGGGGTGGGAACGGGGACCTTGAGGGGTGGGATTGCGGGTGCAGGGTCCTGGGGGATCGGGGACCTTGAGGGGTGGGATTGGGGTGCAGGGTCCTGGGGGACAGGGAAGGGAATGGGGACCTTGAGGAGTGGGATTGGGGTGCGGGATGGTCCCAAACTCTGGGAAGTGCTGGGGGTTTCAGCCCCCGCTCCCCGGCCGTGGTTCCAGCCCCGTTCCCGGGTGCTGGAGCCCCCCTGGCTCCGGGATGTGCCTTTCCCAGGGGTGGGATGTGCAGGTGGGGCAGTGGCACCCCTCACCTGAGCTGCGCTCCGTAATCCAGGAGGGATTTCTCCATGGAAAGGGGGCTGAGGGGCTGCCCTGGGAGGTGGTGGAGTCGCCATCCCTGGAGAGGTCCAGGGAGCAGCTGGACGTGGCACTCAGTGCTCTGCTGGGGATCACTCACAGCTTGGACTTGGTGATCTTTTCCAACCTCAGGCATTCCGGGATTTTATGGATGAAGTTTATGGGGCAAACAAATGGCCGTGAAAGGGCCCAGTTTGTGCAGAGCGCCAGGAAAAGGATTCCTGTCTCCCCTGGGCTTCCTCACAGAGCAGGAGGCTGCAGTTAAAGGCCACTTTCTGCAAGTATTAACATTAAGTTCCTTCTCCCTGAAGCAGTTTCCTGTGCTCAGAGAGAAGGGGGGACACAAACCCAGCCAGCATTAGTCCACGGAAAAAGCCACATGCGCAGTCACACCACGAGTATTCATTAAACAATTAACGATGATCATCTGATGAGCGCTGCCTCCAGCCTGGGGGTCCCAGCACAGGGAGGATGAGGAGTGAGCCCAGGATGATCCGAGGCATGGAGCAGCTCTGCTGGGAGGAAAGCCTGGGAGAATTGGGGTCATTCAGCCTGGAGAGGCTCGGGGTGACCTCACTGTGCCCTTCCTCCTTTCTCCTGCCCCCAGGGTTTGGTGGAACAGCTTTGGAAATGCCTGCCCTGCACCTGCTGGTGGCTCCATGGAAACTCTGGTGCCCAGCCAGCCTGGCTCTGGCTGCAGGACAGCAGGACAGCAGCACCCGGGGCTGTGCCATTGTCCCTCAGCGCCTGTTGCCACCGGCAGCCAGCGAGGGGGGACTGGGAATTCTGGCCCACCAGAGCTGCTGGAATCTCGGGATCTCTGGGTGTCTCCATGGGCTGAGGCTACCTGGATCCCGGGCAGGGTGAGGCTCCCTGGATCCTGGGCAGGGTGAGGCTCCCTGGATCCCGGGCAGGCTGAGGCTGCCTGGATCCCGAGCAGGGTGAGGCTCCCTGGATCCCGAGCAGGGTGAGGCTGCCTGGATCCCGAGCAGGCTGAGGCTCCCTGGATCCCGAGCAGGGTGAGGCTCCCTGGATCCCGAGCAGGGTGAGGCTGCCTGGATCCCAAACACCTTCAGATCCTGAACAGAGCACAGGGCCCCAGTCCCACACAGCCTGAAGCTGCTTCCCCAGCTGGCTGATGTTCCCAGCCCACTCCTGCAGCCCCGCCATGCCCCGATGCACACGATGGAGGTTTGTGCCTGCAAAGAGCAGCTTTTGCACATCCCTCTGGTCCCTGCCCGGCTCCGGCAGCGTTCCTGGGGAATTGCAGGGCTGTGCTGCCCCTGGGGCTCGGAGAAATCCCTGGAGAGCCCTGCTGTGACAGATGGCTGGGGTGACCTGCTCCCAGCCCAGCAGCAGGTCCTGCGGGGGGATTACAGCTCCAGCAGCCGGGAGGGAGCAGGCACGGCTGGGCTGTGATTAATCAGGTTCATTAACGCCCTCCTGGCCCGGTGTTCTCCTTCCAATCCCACCCCTGGCCTTTGCAACTCCAGCTCCGGCCGGGAAGCGCCAGAGAGGGGTGAGAGTGCTCTCGTTGAGATGCAAAACTGCATTTCTGCCATTTCCAGGAGCCAGGGGACGTGGAGGGAGCCAAGGGGCCGGAGGAGGGGGGGCGTGGGTGTGCGTTGGCATTTCAGCGTTCCCTGCCCACTCCCATTCCCTATTATTCAGTCTCCATGGAATCCTGAGGGCTTTTTTTGGGTGCCCACTGTTGGATCTGCTCTATTGTTACTATTGCTCTTCGTAGCTGGAATTTTTTAGGACAAAAGGTGTGTGTTATATTTGGGTTGTGAAATTCCACCTGGTGACTCCTGTCAGAACTCAGATGGCTCCCAAACCACAGGGGTGCTGGAGCTGTCAGGGATTATCAGCTCTGTGAGTGTTAATTCTCCTCTCCCTGCTGGGGAGCAGGAATCCCTCCCTCCTCCAGCCCTGTGTCCCTTGGGAGCAGTTCCTTGGGAATGCAGCGAGGCTGGAGCTGGATGAGGCACCAGGAAAGGGAGGCTCAGCTCTGACCCAGGGCACACCCTGCTCATAAAATCTTTTTCCTCCCCTTCCCCTTCCCTTTTTTTTCCCCATTCCCTTTGGGCTCCATCCCAGGATGAGGCTGTCCCCACCTGCTCCTCAGGGGAGCATTTCCAGCAGCTCAGCGAGAGAGAAAGGCTCGGCGTGGGGGAGTTATATCATTTATATCATTCTTTATATCATCGTTGTTAAGAGTAGCAGGTATTGATGTACAATGCATCTGTCATCTTATTGTGCTTCCTATGAAAATGTGTGTACATAGTACAGATACCGGAGAGAATTCCACACTTTATACACTTGAAGGCATTCAGAGATCAGTAACAGAAAAAAAAATGGCACAAGAACAAGGCCTAAATGCTACTGGATGGGTATCTACACTGGCATGATGCATATAGATATATATATATATATGTACACATATATATATAGTCATATATATTATATATAAGAAATATAAAATGCCGATGACATAACAAAAAAGCGTTTTCTTCAACAGGTGAGCCTCAAGGTCAAATCCCAGCCCCATCTTTAAAAGCTTGAATGGGAAAGAGAAGGAAAGAAAATAAATAAATGAAATGTGATGAAACATTAGGAGAAATCCATAAGAAAATTTATGGATGTGGCCGACCCGTCGTCTTTGGGTGATCGCTGGATACAAAGGACTGACCCCCAGTTCCTAATTTTGGTCAGGAAGCAAATAATAAGAATAAAAATGACAAGAATAAAAATCAAAACTGCAGTTTAGAAAAAAAAAAAAATTACTAAAAATACTTATTGCAAAAGCTCTTAAAGATAAGTAGCACTTGGGCCCGGGTAGGGCTCTGGCCTGGGGGCTGAGAGACGGGCTGGGGGGCCAGATGGGGACCCCAGAGGGGACTGGTGGGCACCGACAGGCTCGGGGGGCAGTGGCCCGGTGGCCACGGACCCCAGCCAGGGCAGGGCTGTGCCAGGGAGGGGCAGCAGAGGCCCTGGGACCCCACAGACACCCCAAAGCCCCGGGGGCAGCGGCTGTCGGGGCTCAGCAGGGCTGGAGCCCCAGAGCCCCCCGTGAACCCCGGGGGGGTTGGGGCTCCGGTGCCTGCCCGGCCACGGTGGTGCCAAGGGGAGAAATGGGGCCCGGGGTTTCCCTGTGCCCTTCTCCCCCAGGATGGCTGGGTGTGGGGCCACAGGGCTCCCTTGGGAGGGACCATGGGGCCGTGCTGGAGCTGGCCAGGCTGCCCAGAGCCCAGCAGGGACAGTGCCCAGTGTCCTCAGAGCCGAGGTGGCACCTCCCAGCCGAGCCCCCTCCGGTGCTCCCGGGGCTGATCCCGGGGCAGGGGCCAAGGAAGACGTTCTGGACAGGTGGAGGTGCCGCGTCTTCGTGCCGGGAGCGCCCGGGCGAGCCGGGGCTGCGGTCCCGGGGCACTGAGGAGCTCTCTGGGGACTCCCAGCCTGCTGCCCTGTGCCGGGCACACCGGGGGCTCCCCAACGAGCCCCCAGCAGGCACAGGGGGCCCAGCAGGCACGGCCAAGGCGTTGGAGTAGGATGAGCATGGAGACGACGGAGGACAGACGGACAGGGCTGTGGATGGAGACTGCGGCCGAACGGCTGCTTCTTCTTGGCTTCTGGGTTTTAGTTAAAAAGGCCGAGGGGAGCCAAGGGGGAGCCGGGGCAGGCCCGTGCCCTGGCCCACTGTGCGTGTCGCTCCCGCTCCGCGGGACGGCCGGGCTGGAGCATCCTGGAGTCTCTGAAGGAGCAGGGCAGGCGCAGAGCAGCCGCCGCGGGGGCTGCGCCGGGGTCTGGCAATGCCCGACCCCACTGCCCGCCCCGAAATCCGAGGCCGTCGCTCTTGTCCGTGTCCCACCGTGCCGAGGAGCAAAGGCCCCCTAGATGTGTCTCTCCGCTGGCGCCGGCGGGGAGAAGGGCAGCTCTCGCAGGGCTTTGGTAGCTCAGGTTGTACATCCAGACGTCGGTTAGCAGGTGAAGTCCTCAAAGGTGCCCCGGGCCGGGTGGTGAGGTAGGATGTTGGCTGCGTACGTCATGCCTGCTGGGTGCCCCCGTATGCTTTCACAGGGATTCTGCAGGATAAACGGGATGTTGGGGCCGCTGCTTCCATCCAGGTCCTTGCAGAGACCCAGCGCCATCTCCCCTTTCCCAGGGGCTCCCCAAAACCGGCACTCCCCACCCCCCAGGCTGCAGGAGGGGCCAGGCAGGAGGGGACCGTGCTGTGCCCCACACTCACGTGGCGCTTCACGTCGTCCATGCTCAGCGCGACGCCCTTGTCTGTGTTGTTCCTCTTGTGGTTCTTGCGGCACTTGCCCCGCCGGCACAGCCGGTGCTTTATCACCTGCCAGAGCCACGTTTCAGCGCCGTGGGGCTCATGGGTGGCCCTTCCCCACGTCCCACACGGGCACAGCCTTGGGATGGAGGAGACACTCACCTCATAGGCGTAGTCAAACAGCTCCAGCACTGTGAGGATGCTGGCCCCAATGAACAGCCCCATCTGCCCTCCAATGTCACCTGCAGAGGAGAGGGAAACCATCAGGGTGGCCTGAGTCCAGAGTCAGGTGGCAGAGGAAGCAGAGAAAGGGCAGAATTTGTCACCACTGTGGCTGGTGCCCGCTCATGGCAGTGGGGTGCCCTGCTCCACATCTGTGCTGTCGGCACATCCCAGTGCCTTGGGAACAGGCCATGGTGACAGGGCCAGCACAAGGCCGCCTCGCTGGGGGACTCTGGCTGGGGACTGCCCAGGGCTCCCCACAGCCACCAGCACTCACCCAGCAAACCCGCCACCTCGTACGCCTTCTTCTGCTCGATCGTCTCGTAGTTCAGGGCTTCAAAGAAGATATCCAGCACCAGGATGTTCTCCCTGTGCAGGACAGAAGTGGCATCAGGCTGAGGTTTGGGGTGGAGGGAGCAGACCCTGCCCCACCACCACGGTGCCTTACCCGATGTACTGCTCTGACTTGTTGTACTTCTTGGCCAGGTACTTGGCCGAGGCCTTGCTGGGGATCTTGACCATGGAGAGCTCTTTGCCGTAGCGGGTCATGTTGCAGGGCATCTCACAGATGCAGTACTCATTGTCCTTCTCCACCAGGAAATCTGTGCGGGGAGAGAGGGGGATGGCGAGATGGAGAAACCCAACCACAGCCCCGTCCCACCCACGGGGCCGGGCAGCCTCACCTAAGGCGGGGTCCGCGCACTCCTTGTACTGCTCCGGGGTGCAGTAAGGGGCATCGCCTGGGGAGACACAGAGCAGCTGTTGCAGCTGGGACCACAGCGGGGGCTGGGCCGGGCCGGGCCGGGCACGGGGCTCACCTGGCATGTGCACCATGCGGCAGTTGCAGTTCTCCACCAGGTAGCGGGTCTCGCAGTCGATCCGACACGCCGTGATGCTGTAGGTGTCGTAGAACTCCGAGTCGCCCGCCACGGCCTTGCAGTCGCCCCAGGGAGGAGGCAGGTAGATGAGCTGGAAGGGGAGAGAAGCCAGGAGTGAGGAGAGAACCCCCTGCAGTTCAGGGACAGACAGCCCAGGATGGGGTCCTCCCCTCCATGCAGTGTGGGGACAGGGGCACAGCGAGGGGAGGACATCCCACACCTGCCCAGTTCCTACCCGCTGCTCCTGGCAGGACACAAAGGTCTGGAAGCCGGGAGCCACCCCGAAGCCCAACTGGTCGATCAGAGGGGGCTCGTCCTGGCTGTGGATCTGCACCTTGATCCCGGCTTCGAATGAGGTCTCATCTGTGGCAGAGAAGTGGGGTGAGCACAGCACTGTCCCTGCTCCAAGGGGCTGTGCTGAGCCTGCTGTGAGAGGGACCACAACTCCTGCCTCCCACGCTTCCCTTGGGCCAAGTCATTCATCCACGTGTCCATCCATCTGTCCATCTCTTTCCTGCACCATGTCCTTGCCCCCTCCACCCCTACCCCCCTGCTCCACGCCCAGGAATGTGGCAGAGAAAGTATTTGACTCTATTTATAAACAAGTGATGGCTGCGTGTCTAAACGATGGGGAGTTGCCATGGCAAAGAGCAAAGACAAGGAGGAAAAGGCAAAGAAAAGACCAGAAGTGATGAGAAATGGAAGGAGGGAAGAGAAGGGAGCCCAGGGATGTGAATCTGTGGTCTGGGGAGCTGGGAAGGGGCTGGGCAGCACCCCAGGAGCTGCCAGTGACTGAGTGGGCCTGCTGGGGCAGTGGGTTACCTGTTTCCCCCCACACTGGCAGGTACTCGTCCTGCTGGATGTCCAGCATGATCTCCAAGCCGTTGCCAGTGCCCCCCTTCATGGTGATGAGCCGGGGCTTCCCGTCCTGCCCCGCGTTGAAGGTGTAGCACTTCCCATAGCGGGTGAAGACCTGCAGAGAGGACACAGCGCTGAGGCTGAGGCCCCTCTGTGTGCAGCCACAGCACGCAGCCAGGAGAGCATCCCCAGCCCCCAAACTCAGCCATCCCAGCCTGGGCATGGTCCGACCTGGGCTCCTGACCCACGGGATCTCTCAGTGTTGGAACTGCCCATCCTGGCCCTGGTGGAGGAGGAGATGTTCCCACAGGGATGGGCTCAGAGGATGCACTGCAGATTTACAGCCCCAGAGAGCCCACGGCAGCTGTGGCTCCCCAGGGTGGTGGCACTCAGCCTGATGCCTGCACCGGCGCCTCCTCCAAGCCCTCCTCCATCCCTGCAGAGGATGGGGCTGGACAGGATCCTGGACCCCCCATCCCTCCTTGGCCATTCCAGCTCTCGCCTCCGGCAGCCGGCACAGCCCCAAAACCACGGAGCTGCTGCCAGCCTGGGCAAGGGGCATGTGAGGGCAGTGGGCTCACACCACATGGTGCCCCACAAACCCTGATGGCACCAGGATGGAGGTGCCAGGCACCTCCTCAGCAAGCACAGCCCCGCGGATACGCTCCATGTCCCACCAGAGCGTCTCCACAGCCAGTGCCGTCCCCAGCTCCGGCAGATGGGGCTGAAATATCAGCCTGTCCCTGAGCAAGCTCCAAGGGCAGCATCACCTGCCGTGCCTGATCCGATCAGCCCTGGATCTGCTCCCTGTGCCGGGCCACCCTGGGGCTACTCACCGGCGCAAAGTCCCTGGGGCCGCAGCGCTGCCCGCGGTAGCTGCAGCTCAGCAGCATGTCCTCCAGCTGGTGGCAAGTGCGGTTAAAAAACCCGTACAAATTGAGGGGCTCGTCCTCCTCCCAGGGGCCGGGCTGGGCCGGGGTGAAGCCCAGCTCCATGCCGGGCTCGTAGTCCACCAGAGGGGCCAGGTAGAGCAAGTCCTCGCGGCTGAGCTGCGAGAGCCGCACACGGTTGATGTTGCAGAAGGTGACGGCGGGGAAGGTCATCTCGGGGCTGTCCTCCTCGCTGAGCAGCGTGACGTGGTGGTACTCCAGGTAGTAGGCGATGCGGTCGGCCACCTGGTAGAGGAAGACGGAGAGGGAGAGGAGGAAGGCCAGCGCCCACAGCGCCTGCCGGGCGCCCAGGCTGCCTTCCACGAAGATGTGGCTCAGCCCGTGCAGGGTGCAGCTGCTGGCAAAGGCCACGAAGTCCGTGGTTGCCCCTGTGTCCTCCTCGTCCTCTTCATCCTCCTCCTGCCCATATAGGAACTCGTCTGCTTCATCTTCTCCCTTCCCAGTGGCTGCAGCGTCTTCTGGCGCTTCCTCACTGGAGAAGGAGATGGTGCAGAATATCTGGAGAGGCATTGCCCAGCCTGGGGGTCCCAGCTGCAGTGTGGAGGTCCTGGCTCTGGTGTGGTGGTCCTGGCCCGTGCCCTGCCCCAGCCTGGGGGTCTTCAGTCAGTTCCTCAGCAGAGAGGGGCTGGGGAGAGCAGGGGAGGGGGAAGGGGCAAGTTCAGGGAGGAGAAATGGAGAAGGGAAAAGGAGTGAGGCGAGCGGGAGTGAGGGAGAGGAGCAGAGGGATGCTCGGAGCGAGGAGGGTATTTCAGGAGCAGGAGGGGAGGAGGAGCGAGGGGCGGTTCCGCGGGCTCCCCGGGCCCCCCGGGACCCGCCGGCTCCGGCTGCCAGGACGGAGCAGAGACATCACCTGCTGCAGAGGCGCCGTGGGAGCTGCCAGTGCTGCCTGGGGGCCCGAGGGGCTGCCAGGCCGGGGGCACACGCTGTGTGCAGGTCCCCAGTGCTGCATCCCCACGCCGTGCCCTCCGTCCTGGCGTGGTCTGGCCCTGGCAGCCCAAGCGGCTGCTCCAGCCAGGCCCTGCCCTCCCTGCTGGGTCCCCGGCTGTCTCCAGAGCCGCCGTATGCCAGGCTCTCTGCGCTCCTCCCCAGGGCAGCTGGAGCCAGAGGTTTTCCCAAAATGCTGGTGACACTGTCCTGGCTCAGTGGTGGTCCAGGTGGGGGGAAGGATGCTGTGGCGTCCTCAGGCTCCTGCGATGCTCCTCCTGCCCTGGCAGTGCCCATCGCTGCAGGCTCATCCCCCCGTGCCGCAGGGCACCGGCATGTGCACGTGAGAATCCAGCAAATCCAGCGTTCCCGGTGGTGTGAGGTCTGTCCTCCTCCGAGCAGGGCTGGTCTTGGCAGGATTTGGGTGCTGTCCAGGCAATGAGTTCTTCCGCAGAGCCCAGTCAGTGCTGGCCACGTCACCTCACGTTTTGGATTCCAGTGGGGCACAGGGAGCCACCTCTTCCCTCAAGGAATGGCATCCAGGCCTTGTGCTGCTGGACCAGGCGGGCTGAGGCTCCCAGGGAGCAGCTCTGGTGCAGGATGCTGGGATGGAGCTGCCGGGAGCACAGGCGTCTCCGCTCTGCACAGCGCAGCCCCTTCTCGTGGTTTGCTGATTTCCTGTACTCAGCACTTCATAAAAGCATCCAGAGACCACAGAGCAATCTCCAGCCCCATCCCGGCACCGGGGGAGAATCTAAACCTGGCAGCATTTGGATGTGCAGGGGCTGGATGGGAGCTTTGGGCTGGTGCCTGGCTGGGAGCAGCTCACCCCAAGCCCTCAGTTCAGCTGCTGTGTCTTGAACCCTGCACCCTGCAGGGTTCCCAGTCCCTGAGCACAACCCAGCACACATGGACACCACAAACTGGGAGAACAAATCGGTCAGGAGTCAGTAAAAATCTGATCTGATACCAGCACAGTATCTGAGATCCCTGGGCAGGTGATGCTGGTGGAACAGGCGCTGGGGATCCCTGCCAGGGGCAGTGATCCAAGATGTGACAGGGGGGTGTCCCATCCTGGGGCTCCCCACACTCAATATTCCCTTCAACAGGGGCCTTGTGTAAGAGGGACACTGGCAGATGCCACTTGGGGACCTGGGAGAAAGCGTGGATGACCTTGGGGACGAGCGCCAGAGCCATGGGATGAAATTTCATCAGGCCAAGATCAAGGTTGCACCTTTTGGGAGCATCCCAGAGAATCTGAGATGAAAACTCTTCCTGGACAAGAGAGTCAGGAAGATGAATTGGGTGCCTGGGAGCCACCAGGACACGGGGGCCAGGTCACAGCTGCCCTGTGCCTTTGGTGGGGATGAGCTGCAGCTGCAGGGCAGGGCTGTGACAGCATCAGGGCTGCTCCTGGCAGGAGGTTTGGAAGAGCTGGGCTGGCTCAGCCCTGTGGGAGCAGCCTGGGAACACCCTGGGCTGGTCCCACACAGGCTCAGGACAGGGAGGAGCAGGCAGGAGCTGCCCGGGGTTGGGGGGATTTCTGCTGCTCCCAGCTCTGACACTGGGTTCCTGTGCTATGGCTGTGGGGAGGGGAGAGGAGAAGGGAAGCGGAATTTAGGAATTGCAGGTTGAGGGGGTTGTTCAGCCCCGGCACGGCTCGGACAGGTGAGCCGTGCCGCGCGGGGCCATCAAGCAGTCCCTGTGGTGCGAGAGAGGGGCGGGGAGGTTTAATGTGTCTTCTTGGGAGCGATTGCAGCAGGGAGAGAGAGAGAAAGATGCTGTAATGAAAACATCCCATCATCGACTGGGGCCATTAACCTGCTTCGCTCGGCTTAAACACCTCGCGGGATGCGCCGGGGCTGGGTCCCAGCAGCAGCGCCCGGCTCCGGTTACCGCCACCTGTCCCAGCGCCGACACCCGAGCCGGGGTGAAGGTGACCGGGGACAGCCGCAGCCTGGAGCGCGGTGGCACCAGCGCCAAGGGGAGCGCGTCCTGACCCCCGGATTGGGGACAAAGTGCGGCCGTGTGCTGCAGGCAGGGGGGTGCCGCCCTGGTTTGTGCAAGTTTTGGAGATGCTGGAGGAGTCCTTGGGCTCGTTCCAGCTCCTCCCTCGCCGCGAGTTATTTTTACCCTCTCTCAGGTAAAGCTTTGGCGGGGGCGAGGGACGGGGGATGCTATAATTAGCCGTGACATCAGCCCCCGTGGCGGGTGCTGGGGTGATGCCGCCACACCCGAGGCGGCGCTGGGACCGGGGATGCTCCGTGCCCTCCTCCCCGCCCCGGTGAGAGGTGTGGGATGGGAGGAGGAGATGGGTTTTTCCTGCCTCCAGCACCGTGTTTGGCCACTGTCCCGGGGCGGTTCGGCCCCGCTCGCTGCTCTGCGGCTCCTGACGGGCCTGGGAAAGGAGGTTTCCCGGAGCGGGGGAGCACGGAGGCGGCGGGGGGGAAGCGGGAGCGGGATTTGACGGCAGCAACAGCACATTTCACAGCCTGTCACGCTTTAATGGCAGAGGAGATCAAAGCCGGGATGGAGTTATTCATAGAGATAAACCAATCCCCGAGGAGGCGAGGAGAAAACAACATTGCAAGCTCTGTTATCCCAGGTCTCCGAGCCCCGGGGAGGCTGTCGCCGAAAGCGCCCCGGGAGCTGGACCCGCTCGGTTTTGTGACGGGCACTGCCCATCCCTGCCAAAGACTGGCGGAGCCGGGGCTGAGCTGCCCACGTCATCCCTGGGGGTGCCCGGAGGTCGGAGCTGGCTGCTAGGAAGGGATGGGATGAGGGGTGGGATGAGGCAGCCAAAGCAGCACGTGGGGGTGGACATGTGGGGCAGATGGAGACCCCAGGGCTGGGCTGTCCTGCTCCCACCACGCAGCCGGGTGTGCGAATCCAAAGGGAGAAAAATGAGGTTTTCCACGTGTCTTGGCCCAGGGATGTGCTTTGCAGCTCCCAGAGCTGCCAAGATGGTGGTGGAGGCACCGGCAGCGCTGCCACCGCCGCTCCGGGCGGGATGAGCCGCTCTGGGACAGCTCCAGGGCTGCACATCCCTCCCTGACCCTGGCGAGAGACACAGCAGAGGCAGCCAAGCAAGGTGGGATTGCCCGGGCAGGCGGGATCTGTGCCGGGACTAATCCTGCACCCCTTATCAGATGCTGCCACCTTGCCTCGGCTCGCTCCGCCAGCCAAGCCGGGCGCAGCTTGTGTTATCCGGCCCTTTATCCCCCAGATTAGACGCTTCACAGTGGATTAGCATGTCACATTCTAATGCAGAAAAATTGATGATTAAAAAAGGAGTTTTTCCCTCTGTATTATTCCCCACCTCCGCCTCCTCTCCACCCCGTCCCTGCAGGCCCACCAGCCCCAGCCGCGGGCACCGGCGATGCCACGGTGCTGGGTGATGCCAGCGTCGCTTCCCTGGATCAAACGGGATGGCAAGCAGGAAGCCAAAGGTGCCTTTTTCACGCCGCATCCCGGCTGCTTGTGGTGGCGAGGTCCGGCACTCCAGGTGCCCGTGCCATTCCCGTGCTCCCGGCTGCAGACTCAGCACCTGCAGCACAGGACTTTAATAAAAAGCACATTACGGTGAGTAATGTGCTAAGTGGACTTCATTATAGAGCCAGGGCCTCCCTGGATCCCGTTGTTCCATATGATTTCATATCAGATGAGCCTTATCTCCTCTCCAAACGCTTCCATTTAAACTCTATTAATCTTTCAAAGCTTTCCTGGGCAAGCTCTTCCCAGGCAGCCCTGCTGGGTGCCGGTGCTGCTGCCCCGGGCACTGAGGCCACCTGCAGCCAGGCTGGCCGGGGGTTTGGGGGGGCTCGGCCAGGACCCCCCCGCAGCTCCGTGGGCAGTCCAGCGTGTCCCTGGAGCCTCGGCTGTGATCCGCCGTGACGGCTCCGCAGCCGCCGCATCCTCCTCCCCAGGATCTGTTTACGCTCCTATAATTGAACCTGTTTGTACCGCTGAGAGCTTCCCGGTGATTTCCCCGCTGGCAGTGTCCCTCTGTGCCGTGCGGGGGTCACCGGGACTCTGCCAGGAGCCGGAGGATCTGCCGAGGTGTCGCTAATTCCCGCGCATCCAGGATTATTCCCGCCGACCCCGATCCCAGCGCCTTCCCGGGTTTCCTGGCGATGGCGAATCACCCGTAAGCAGGTTGCGATTTTTTCCGACATCCTTCACAATCGCTCAGCCAGTTCATGCAGGCAGATTCGAGCCGGCGGTTTTATTGGAGGGGGGAAGAGCCCACGGTGTTCCGGTCTGGTTTCCTTGCTGTGCTCGCTCGCTCCGGCTCCGCACGTATCACGCTTTTCAAATCTAATCTAATCCAAGCAGAGCAGTCACACAGCCCTGGCATGTGGTGGCTCTGGAAGGGTGTCCCTGTCCCTGCCAGGAGAGCAGGGGTTTAAAATCCCTGAAAAATCACAGAGTGCGTGGGAACACCCTGCCCCAGCTCCGTCCTTGGGCTGAGAGCCTGGATGCAAACACACCAAACACTCCACACAGAAAAAACCCTCCAAAAAAACAAATAATTGGTTATAATATCCAAGTGTCAGGGCTGTATAAATAAATAAGAGCCAGTGAGGAGCTCCTTGAACCCTGGCTGGAGCAGGAATTGCAGCGCTGCCTCGGGAGCCCCGGCCAAGCTCCACAGGCGATAAAACACAGGTGGCTCTAAACAGCCAGAGAAATTAAACTGAGGAAAAAAGGCCACGAGACAGTTAATTTCCTGGTCTCCCTGTGGAGATCTGTGGCTCCAGAGG